GGCCAGTAGCAAGAATTAAATTATAGGAAAGTTTCATTCCACTTTAACAGACTTCAGAGAGTTTAGTATGAACTAACTTTGAATTGTTCAGCTCATTCATGGGGATACTAAAGTACTAAAGTCAATGAAACATGCATCCACATGAGACATTATCCTTTCAGTTTGGCATTTGGGATACTGTTATAATGAGCAATAACAAAATGCCCTAGATCTCTGTAGGTTTTGATTTAAATTGTATGCTGCACCCAAGAGAACATATTCAGTTGTATTTACTTTCCTGTTTATCCATATGAAATTTGTGTGAGTCTTGGCTCAGTTTGTCTGAGAAGAGAACTGTTACAAAATGTACAGAGTTCAAGAGTTTCTGGCAGAAGACTTCGGAAGAAGATACTGTACCACCTGCTTGCACTTGGTACTGCTCTGGAGTATCTGCATTTCCTTTGTAAATTTATCTGCAAAATACTTTTACTTTTTGAAGAAATGGTAATATTTCATATTCTTTGTTAAATATCAGCCAAAATGTACATGCCAAAAGGTTGATAAGAACTGTTTACATCAGTGTAGGTCCTTCCATTAAATTTATTTGAGTTTGGATTGGGCTCTCCAGTTAGGCGTTTAGTGATAGTATAATTTAAGAGTAAATTGCTAAACATGTTGCAGAACATCCTGGGAAGTTCTGGGAACTTGTTTGGATGTCAGAGATACTTGAGACTCCTTCTGCTGTGTTGCAAACTCATCTGGAGACACCCAGTGCATGCTGTTATTTAAATCTCATCCCTGTTCAAATTCCTTTTTTTTTTTTCCTGATTATTTTTTAATTGATATAAAGCTTTTGCCACAGCTTGTGGCTAGGAGGAGGGAAACTCTGCTTCGGGGATATCAGTGTGTATTTGATGAAGACCTGCAGGGGATAAAGAGGAGGAACCTTCCTTCTTACTGCTTTTTCTCCTTTTTGTGCCAAGCTACTGTATCCGCCCTCAGTCCCCAGTTCGTACCTTGCTTCATCTAACTGGTAACATCTCTAGTGCTATTATCAAGGCACATTTCATTCCTTGTTTCCTTCCTAGCCAGGAGGAGAATGAGCGCTGAGGGAATAGCATGGGTTGCCTCACACCTCAAGCATGAACATGACATGACAAAGCCTAGCTTGAGCCTCCTGCTGCGGCAGCTCCAGGCCAGTTCCCCGAAGCAGCTGTGCTTCAGATGAGTGTTTTGCTTTCCTGATCTTTTTGCAGTGGCCAACCTGGGAAATAACTGCTTAATTCATACAAACATCTTTAAAACATGACATTAATCAAAATAGTTTAAAGAAACCCAGCCCGGTTCCATTATTTATTGATGTCCACAGCTGCCACTGTCTCGGGTACATAACTTTGCACATAGTTTGATAGGCAGTTATTTCTTTTTCCTAAGAAAGAGGGATCCTTTTTTACACTAACAGCATGACATGCTTCCCCGGTGTATGCCTATCCAAGCTAGTTGGTTGTTAGGCTTTAGGACATAATGTTACCTTCTTGGTAAATCATGTCTTTTTCTTTTGCTTTTTTGTCAGCAGTTCCATATTCTTATGTTCATTTCCAATGACTGTCATCAAGATTGTCTTAATTGAAAAAACATTTGCTGTAACTTGAGCAGCTGTTCTTCTACAGTATAAAATCATGGTAATTGTTTGTGTTTGTTCAGTGCGAGGTCGCTGTAATGGAAAGTAAATGGTCTCCGTTAATAGGTGGTATTCTCCCTGCTACAGTATCTTGTTGCCCATGAGCTGGAATATGAGCTGTGCTATTTAGTGTGCGAAATAAAAGGTAAAACTGCTTTTGAACCCTTATTTGACTTTTTCCTAGAACTTACTTTTCTGAAACTGCGTGTCTTTGACTTTCTGCCTAGTTGACCAGTTGGATTTATAACTTAATTGCCAAGTTAACTGAATAAGCTTATTTGTATAGCACTCAGGAAGACCCTGGATGATTTACAGAAACATGAAATAAAAAATATTTTCCCATCGCTACGATATGTACCCATTAAGGGAGTTTTCCCCATATATACAGCTTCATTTTCAGAGCTTCTTTTTGTGGTTTACCAGTTAGAAGCTGTCATTTCCATTAGAAGTTAGAACTTAAATTGGCATCTACTAGATGCTACATTCTGCCTGTCCTCTTGCCTTGACATTTCTGCTTATTAATTCCAAATATGTGTGTTCATATATGTAGACCTTGTTTTATAAGTATTACCTGTGATCCCAGCTGAGGTGTTACTCATATTCAGCGTGCAGTTTTTGGCCTGCACACATGAAGTGGGTAATACTTTGGGGAAAGCCAGAAAGTAATGCTAAAGCTGCTTCGCTCATGGTAGCTTAGAAGTGAGAGGTGTGTGTCGGTGGGTGCGTTTGTATGACTGAAGCAACCTGTCCTGACAAGGAAATGTAAGGGTGTAGTTTCTAAACTACAGAGTTAGTGAGCTTGTTTGCTTACAGTGGAGTCTTCTTAATACATTTTAATAAGTGATGAGCAATGATGTAATTCAATTAGTATACTTTATCAAATTTATTTATGATAAAGGGTTCTGGGTTTTTTATGAAAACTTTGGCACCTACTATATTGACTGAAATTTGAAGTCCTGATCTTTTAAATGCCTCAATCTTAGATGTATATTTTTGCCTTCATTTCAAGTGAATCTAAGTTTCTGGAAATTATACATCTAGAGATTGTCTCTATTCAGAAGCCCGTAATTCCCCTTTCCTGGCTGTTGCTCTTTATGGAAGAGGTGGCAGTCTTCCTGCAGGGGTACTGCCTCTGGCACTCTCTGTATACAGTTCCATGTCTGATGGTGCTGTCATGGCTTTCAGCAGCTTCATGACTATTTCCACTGTTTGAGTTTCTGATACAGCATTCCAGCTGGCTACCACCTTCTTTTCTTTGGAGATAGTTTGGAAAATGCTCTCTAGAAGTTACAAGTAGTTATAGATATCTTCATTTAAGTGTAATGAAGGGTAGATGTTAATTTGTCTTAAGGGATTCTTCTATTTCAAGTATGCATTGGTTTCTGAAGCCAACACGAAACTTTGAAATAGCTGAGGATGTTCAGATTTGCTGGCTACACCTGCTAGCAGTTAGAGACAGTTAGAGCAATATGCAGTGGTGTTTGAGGTAAACAGGAGTTCAAAGAGAGGTTTATGAAATTTTAAATAGTGGTGAGGACTTGCAGCAAAAATCTATGGATCTTGTAACTAGGGAATCAGTTCTTCAGTGTTAGCTAGAAGAGCACATTAGGAAGAGCATCCTAATACTGTCTTGCCTTTTTTTTTTTTTATTTTATTTCTCTCTGAAAACTCTTGAACACACCTGCATCAATTTCTTTGACTTTTATTCTGCAGTTTATAGTAAGAGAATTCAAGAGTTGGAAAAGTTATCAGGATTTATTAGTTCTTTTTTTTTCTTTATTTTCTTTCTTAACAACTCTAGAACATTCTGGTTTATTAAAACAAAGTGGGGGCCAGCAGTCCCTCCTGAAGTCATGCCATCTATATCATCTTTCTGGCTGGGACTTCTATCCTCTATTTCCTGTCCAGGCAAATCCTCTGTAGAGAAAGAAATATGTCTTTGTGCCTTGGAAGCAAACCACATCAAACAGAGGACCTGATAGATAGCCCTTTCTGTTTCTTAATGCCTTTATCTCTTCCATGATTCTTCATATTTTAAGAAACAGTGATTTTTAAATTTTTTTTTTTAAGCTGGAAGTTTCCTGCTTCCAAACAGTTTATCAATTGAAAGCTTGAGCAGTGCTTAACAGAAGATGAAGCAGAGCTGTTTCAGTTCTTCCCTTTCCAAGGTAGAAGAATGTAAATTAAACTGAAAATGCATTTTCTGTTTTATATAGACATATATATCTATATGAATAAAAGTTGTCTAAGGATTTTGTAGCATACTGCAGTGAAAAAGTTACAAATAATTTCCCTATGACTTGGTAATACTTCTGTATCTGAAAAATTTTTCTTTATGTTTTTCTGTCATTTTGGTGGAAACTTTAGAAATTATTCCAGACCTTTTTTTTCCTAAGGCTTCTAATTGTTTCCTTATACTTTCTACTTGTCAGTAACTTCAGGTTGTTGAGGCTATAGGTCAGGAAGTCTTCCCCTTCCCAAGACAGCACTCAGCAAAGACCTATTTAAATTTCTAAATAGGTACTAAATTCTTCTGAAGTTTTCTCTTTTTTTCAGCAATAGATAAAATAGGTTTATTAATAGATAATACAGGTATATTAAACTTCTGTATTAAGATATTAAGCACTGTAAAGTATTTGGCAGTGTCAGAAATTGTAGAACAAAATATCCGAGGCAACTGAAGACAGGTCTGTGTTGTTCTGTTGATTCATCCAAGAAAAGCAATTTGTTGTGCAGTGGTGAATAATCTGCTTTATCAAATATGTCCCATTCCTGCAAGGTGCTTCGTGCCCTTCATTTCCTTTTGAAGCCAAAAGGGATTCAACATGTTGCAGCTCAGGCCGTGCTGAATACTGATGTCTTGATATCTGGTAGATCATTAATATTTATTTGTAAAATGGAAGCAAAATGAGTTTTGACCTTTAGAGCTAAGTCAAAAGTTTAATCCGTGTCCATTTCCAGTTTGATCCATTAATTGCTCCATTTCCTAATTGTGTATAGGACAATAGTTTCTGTTCATTTCAGAGGTAAATCAAACTGTAGGTGATGCTTTGAGTTCATAATTTTGTTGTTTGTTTTACTTAAAAGTGAATTCCAGATCACTGAATGCATCTTTATGGTTTCTGTTTAAAAAAAATAAATCAGTTCGGGGTTTTTTTCCCACATCGATGCGTATATTCTGCCTAAAACTAGTGGGATGTGATATACTTTATGATACACAGAGGATAAAAATAAGTTTATGCATTTTCTGGTTACACAAGTATTAGTATTCTTGGCAGCTCTGAATAGGGGGGAAAAAATGTCAGCGTGAAATTAATAACTGTTTTTGTTTCTGTTACAGCTACACTGTACACATCGTGCATTTTGTTGGGTATATTCCTCAACAGCAGCGTACCAATATTCTTTGAGCTCTTTGTGGAGACAGTCTACCCAGTTCCAGAAGGAATTACCTGTGGAGTTGTCACCTTTTTGAGTAATGTGTTCATGGGAGTCCTTTTGTTTTTCCTCACATTTTACCATACAGGTAAGAAATATAAGCTACTTTGAAAATATAGTTCTCCATTAAGACATACCCTTATCAGTAAAGGAAGGATTTGCACATACAATTTCTGTTAATAATCATATGTTTGAATCCTCTTATGTAGCAGGAAGGGAGAAGAAAACTTTAATTGTTCTTTTCTTTATGCATGATAATAAACAAGAAATGCGTATAATCGTATTCTACTTAGAGTTTGCTGTAGCCAGAAACCACTGAGATACACTGTCATATTTTTGTAAAGGTCTGGGTAGTGTAATGTTTGTATCTATGGGTGTTCAGAACCACAATAAAGCTAATCCAGTCTCGTGATTCAGGGTATAACTGTACTGCCCAGGAGGGGCAGAGAAGAAATGCCCCTTCTATGGTCAGCTCCATTCAGTGGGTTGGATGTACCATTGCAGGAGAGAGAGCATCTCTTGACCACTGCTCAAAGACAAAATATTCATTCCTTTAGAAATATTTAGAAATATTCATTCCTTCCTGCTTAATCAGGCACCAGTGTTTTGCTTAATGTTTTCATCAACTTCTTCAGACTTTCTCATCTCTTGAGTGTTACTTGCTTCCTCATAACTCATAATTGTAACTTTCAACTTGCTATAGTAGATATATATAGTATTATTATATTATTATAGTAGACTATATTATTACTTTAAGCTGTAAAATAAGAACCCATCTTGGTTTCAAAGGGAAGTGGTCTTTATTAATGGTTTTCAAAGATGAAGATTTTTAGTTTGCATTTTGTTGTGGTGGTAAACATTTGCTTCATGATGCAAGATTTGTAAAGCAGTATTTTGCTTAGAAAACGTTAGAAATTGTGAGCTTTTGTATATCATGCGTGTGTGAAGTTCTTAAGACGATGTGTTTTATAACCAAGAGGCGACTGACAAATTTCAGAATGAATTGTGCTTGAAATTATGAAGGTTACAGCCCGGGGCACATTTTCAGCGTGGTTTGTGTGTCTTTGTGCCAGAAAATTGCAAGCAGGTTGACAGCCCCATTCCAAATTATGGTCTGTGAACACAAACTGAGAGAAATTACTATTTTTTTTTTTTAATACTGACATTGAACTGCATCATTGTAAAATCTGAATTCCATCCTTCCTAGCCTCAGGTGACATGATATTTAGTCTTTACATTTTAAAGAATGCTTTTGTGATTAATATTAATTGGTGTGAACTCTGTTCACATATAATATTACTTCCAACACTTGCACCTGAGCTGAAAAGATTATGAAGAATACTATGACAATTTTTTCAGCATTTCTCAGTGTAAGCATCCAGTGTTCGGACTTCTGGCATCACATAACATGGTCTTCTCTAAGCCTAGGAAAATTTTACTATGGTTTTAATCAGATTACTGCTTAAACAAGTCTGTAAATGTTTTTGGTGGATGAGGGAGGGTGCTGTTGAAGGTTTCTGTTTCTGGAAGGTTTATGTTTTAGGCTTTATGACTTTTGTCCTTTGCACCATATAATACAGATTCTGCTTTTTCTTTTAGCAATATAAATTCCAGATTTAAGAAAGTAGCAGTGCTGAAGCCTTGATTTTGATTAACTCAGACCTTCTGGGAGAGTTTAGATTCTGTAAAAATAAATAAATAATAAGAATAAAGGAAACATCAAAAAAAATAAAACACCATCTCCAGTAAAATTAATATTTCTTCAGTAAATTGACAGATTTTTAAAACAGGAAATTGAGGTACACTTTTTTAAAAAAAAAAAAAACAAAACACCAAAAACCTGAATAAAACTGCTAATTAGCGGTCAAGTATCAGACAATAGTCTGATATTTTCTTGAAGGTGGAACACAAGCTTTTAAGAGCAGTATCTTATGTCTAACAGCTAAAAAGGGGCTTCGGAGGAGCTGTTTGTGCAACTAGTTTTAAATTGAATTGATTGTACTACTCACAAGTTTCTTCTGAGGAATTGGTTTTCCCTCCTTATACCATGTAGCAGGTTTGATTTCAAATCAAATCCTGCTTCTTCTTAAACTTCTAATTTGGTTTAGTTTTCAATCTATAGAAATCAAAGAACTAATGAGTAGAGTCTTCAGAAGTGGTTTATTCTCCATTAGCAATGATAGATTTTTTTTTTTTTCCCTGTTCTCTCCACTGACAGGTTGAATAAAGAGGATTAAGATTAGCTGGAGGCATTGGTTATATATATGTATGTATAAACTTTAAATATACATCAGGCATCCATGGAGAAGTCCCATAGACCATCTATCGATCAAGAGCTGTCAGGATTTTGTTCAGAACACAGCAATTTCCTTCAAACCCTCCCTCAATCAAAGTTTTGGTCACATTGTGCACGGAACATGTTTGATAACTGAGATTGTGTCTGTTTTCTGCTTCACAGAGTTTTCCTGGTTCAACTGGTGCCTGCCAGGATCGTGTCTGCTCAGCCTGCTCCTCATCCTGTGCTTCCGCGAGTCCTACGACAGACTCTATCTCGACGTTGTCGTCTCTGTGTGATAATGCCGGACTGGTGAGGGGTTGGAAGAGACTGGAAGTCAGCTTTGCAGTCTGCACATCTGCCTGGAGTTGCACAGCTGAACAGCAGAAAAACAAAGAAATTACAAGACTTGATTGTGGCTTTATTAGAGGGTGAGGACAGGCTGTTCTTACATTCAAGACCACCTTGGTTTGTGATAAACATGGAACTTGAGTGGTGATAATGATGCCGAAATGCACAAAGAGTATACCTGATGTACAGGTCCCAGTGCCAGAGCTGGGGCTCCCTATTTAAAAGGCTGTTGATGTAGCAGTGAGGTGTGCAGTTGTGTGTGCGTGCGTGCGTGTGTGCCGACTCACGGTTATACACACTGGGGTACCAGTAATCTTTGGAGTCTTCTATCAGAATAGAAATAGCGAATAATCTCAACAAAAGGAAAAAAAAAAAAGATAAAAGGAAAAAAAATCTTTTTAAGGATCTCTCTTAAATCACTGGTCATTTAAACAGTTAAGCAAAAACGATTTAGTGCTTGTACACTACATTTACATTCTAATAAAGTGATTTCTGATACAAGACACTGGTACCAGGGTTTTTAGCCATACTAAATATCCTAAACAATCCTTGCAGTGTTGTTAGAGGTGTTTGTTATCACCCTGGAGCACATGTAAACGATAGCTTTAACTGCCACTGAAACCCAACTTGCACCCACAGTCGCCTCTGAAATACCACCATGGTTCTGTATCTCCTGAATACGGAGCATCTGTGGTATCTCAGAAGTTTACTGGAGAGTCACTCTTGGTAAATGTTGCTGATTTAAAGGCCACCACTGTGTCACCTTTTCATCCCCCATCTCCAGTACTGCCTTTTTTACTGTGAAGACCTGTTTGTGCCACTGAATACTGTGGGTGTGGATGTCCGAGCCCCACTAGTTCTCTTCTGATACTCTAAGGTGTGTGTGGCTTTTAGGATTAGTTTATGATTGAGGGTGCCTAAAAATATTGTTTGTGAACTTTTAAAATCATGTCTTTAAAATCACGTCTTTAAAATCACAGTTTCCTAAAAAAAAAAAATCTTTCTAGTTGATGAGATGCCCTGATGGCGAAATGACAATGAGTTTTACAATGAGAAATAACTCATGAGTTTTGGCATAATATGGGAAATATAATGCCAGCTCTTTTTATCAGTACTAATCTGTGGTCGTTCTGGCCTGTACTTGAACATAAATATTAAAGACACTTTGAATAGTTTTTTAACTCAATTTTAAACCTGATGATAATTTCTTAATTATATTCTTAGATTTCACTTCAGCATCCTTTACAGTATTTCCATGTGTGTGTTCTGTGCTTTGTGTTAGGGATGGGGGGGTGTGTGTGTGTGTGCGTATTTATATCTATGTATACACAAATAAAACTTATATATATATATATATGTATGTTTTATATATAAGTTATATAAGAGTATGTGTTTACATAGGTTTATTTTAAGTCATCATGTCTCTGGATGGTGGTATGCCACTGTTTGTAACTAAACCAGTCATGTCCTGAATGGAAACATGTACATACGCTGTTTGCGACATGAATTTTTTTCAGAGGGTGAATGATTTCCCATCGCAGTGATTTTATTGCAGGGGGTGCGTGCACATGTTGGAGGAGGCTGGTGTGCAGAGTTCTGCGTCCGTAGAAGTCTGAATCAAACGCCCTTTGCTCCTGTGTGGGACTCTTTTCTGCCACCCTGGGGTGACACCGACACTGTAAGCTCACTCACACCCTGAACTGGGCGATACCTCCCAGACACGGATCCGTTCGTTCTCTCTGCTCTCCTTTTGCGGAGAGAATATGGCACTAATACCTTTAACTCAGGAGTGTATCTGTGCAGTAAAATAAAACAAGCTGTTCCCTGCTTTTATGTTTTCAGAGCAATGGATGTATTTACTGTAGTAACAGAAAATTGACTTAGTTCATTGCCTATATCAGCTACTAAATGATCTTTTCTGTCTTGAAGCAGGCTCTTTGTAGAAATTGAGCTAACTTACATTGGAATAACTAAATCAATCTTAACCGGCGCATTCAGATTCACTGGCATCATCCTCTTACTGTTTTTCAGATGAATATTATTAACTGTCCAACTTCTTTTTACTATGTTTTAGTGCCTGGAATAGTTTCAGTATCCAGTAGCTGCTGCTACCTATTGTCTTCTGAAACCAAGGATCGCTTGCCAGGAGTCTGATTGGAGTTGCATTGTCATGGCAGAACTGCAAGCTCGGATGGCTCATCAGAGCTCTGCTTCTGCAATTTACTGTAGCTATATTAAGATTAAAATTGCACTGCTCGGGCACTGTCCCGAGTGACAGAGATTTCTGATCCTTTCACTGTCCTGACTATTTTAAGATGGAGAAGCACTTCAGGCAGTATTCAGACTATAACCTATTCTGTCCCTGTTCCAGAAAGCATCGAACAATTCAAAATATTTGTCAGTGCTGCCAGGTGCACTCTCTCCATACAGTCAGGGCAGAAGAGTGAACATCTTGTTTTAAACCCTGTAGATTGTTTTTCTGAGTTGGTGTGAATTGCTCTCCTGAACTTTGATGCTTTGGTAGAAGTTTTTGTGTCTGTCTTGGGCACTGTAGTGTGTGGTCTTAATTACAGCCCTTGATGCCTCTGCACCAAACCAGAGCCGTTCTCCAGAGCTGAGCAGCACTGCAGAGCTCTAATGGAGCTGCGCTGCGGTTGCAGGCACCGTTCTGCAGTCGGGGCTCAACCAGAGTTCCCAGTAAGTCTGATGGAAATCTGCCTGAGTGAAAACCAAAAGATTGCTCCCAAATTACTTGAAGCTGTGTAGAACACTGCTGCATTCCACACCTACAGTGTTCAGGCTTTAGGATTTTATGACATTAGCAAGTCTGGCTCAGGACAGAGGTGAGGATTGCAAATGTGTTTGCTGAGATGTCTGAAAAATATTTTACCACCATCTGTGCCCAGCAGCAGCATCCTTCTGAGGAGGAGCATGTCAGTAACCCAGCTCAAGCTGTGGGAATATTTTTTGGAAAGGGTTATCACTAGGTCCACCCTTGTTTGGATTTACCAAGGGTCCAGCCTGTCAGGATAACAGCACTTTTTGGAAGTTAGAGACCACAGGGAGAGCCCTAAGCAGTGCTGATACAATTAGCAGTAGTGCAGAATAGGCTTAAAACAGTTAATGTTTCTCTTAATTAGTGAAAATTCTAAGTTTCTCTAACTTTTGAGTCATTAACAACAGTTTTTTTTAATCTAGATGAGGCATTACCTTGCATGGACACAGAATAGCTGACACTGTCTGCTGCTTGGCCTGTGACTTGCCCGCAGAGGAAGGTGCCCTGGGAAGTCACAATATTTGCTTCTCTTCGTGGCCTGTAAGTTCACAGTCCTAAAGAACATTTTTTGCCAGCAGTGCAGAGCCCCCTAACATACAAGTAATTGTATAAACAAGTATAAACTCAAAATGCCAGGAAGGATGCTTTGTAGTGACCGTTCTCTCTTAATAGTTCATCACTTTAAGCATGGGCTGCTCCTTGGGTTCTGTTGGCACAGTAACAGCTCAGCTCAGCTTCCAGTGCTGCTGGCATTTCTTCCTGCGAGCTGCACTGGCTTTCATGCTGCTAATGAGGAAGCTCAGGGTTAGTAGATGTAGGCTCCACTTACAGCACTGTTGCTCTTGTCACTGCTGTTACCATTAATTTCCTTTCAATCCCTTTAGCTTCTTGCATGGCCGCCTGCTCCCCTGAGCCGGAGGTACGGAGAAGAGCTTCCGTGCTCCCAAGGCAATTTTAGAGGAATGGGTTGGCTGACCTTGTAATTAATAAACATAAAAATAGTGATATTTAGAAAATCATGCAAGCTGGAAGAAAATGCAGGCCCAAAGGATTTTGCATGTATGTGAGCAGAGAGTCTGTTATGAACAGACTGTAACTTGCCTGAAACTTAAAAGAGGCCAAGAGACCTAGAGAGGCCAAGCTGATAGGCACCACACGTGTTGGGTATTCAGGTTCACAGCATCATGGAGTTATTCACAACCATCTGACAGCTGAAATGAATGGGAGTGAGACATCTTTAATCTTGGAGTGGCTTAGAAAACCCCAGGATACATCACTGGTAACTCGGGGGAGTGCCAGGCTGAGTTAAGAGAAGGGGGTGCAGTCCAGAGGGTATTCAACACTGAAATACTGCATTCAGTTAATCAAATCCATATAAAATTTGAAGTTTTGTGGTGACAGGGATGTTAATGCCTGGCTTGTTCTACAGTAAACTTAGCAAGTGACTGCATAGCCTTACACTGCGATATAACCGAGCTGAATTGGTTGATATGCATATATTGGCTGTTAGTAGAAAGGGAAGTGCTATTTAATTGGGAGGATTGACTGAAATATGAATGGGAATTACACAGTTTGCACAGTGGATATAACTGTCCTGTAATGCTATGACAGCAGGCTTTTAATTGTTCATTTTCATATCTTCTGTGTGCAGATATTAATAAGTATCTGTGACAAAGGCAGTTTTATGTTTCATTAGTTTTGGGAGGGGGTTCTTTTAGACTAAGTATGGATCATTGTAATAACTTGGCAAGACAACTGCTACACTGGTATGAAAGCATACATGAATATTTGGTGTCGATTTGGTGTTTGATGTTGGTGTGGCCATCCCGAGCGTTGCTGAAGCGCTGGGCGTGGGGAGCAGGGATGTGGTGTGTGCCAGGAGGCAGCCATGCTTGTGGACACACAGGCGTGCAAGGGTAGATGCTGACCCTGCCAAAACAAACAAGAACTTCATCGTCGTCCCTGGGTCCCAGTATCAGGGCTGGGAGGAGGAGGGGAGCACGTGTTGGGGGAAAAGCTGCCTTGTGATAGAGAGACAGCCTCCAGGCTTTGCTTCACCTGTGAGAGATCACAGGTATCAGCACAGGCTTCTTTCATTTCCCTGCAGCCACTGCTGCTGCGAGGTGGGTTGTAGGTGGCACAGGAATCTCTGCCTTGCTTCCTCCAGCAGTGTCATCTCAGACGGTGGAGGAGAATTGCCGCAGAGCAGGGAGCAGCCCCAGTAAAGTCAGAAGATGATGGCAATCTGCTTATAATTTTTGTAGTTTGTGTTTCAAGACAGATGAAACTAATAAATAGAGGAAGAAATGTAACTCTGTCCAAAGTTTTGACAAGCAAAAGCAAATATTTGCACAGATGTGCTGGCTCCTGCCTTTTACTTGGGATGACAACATGTTTGGAGCAGTTTGTGCCTGGGCCGGGGGCAGCGATCAGGGCAGAAGGGAAGCGCTGCAGCCAGGGTGCCCAGATGGGTGCCTGGCTTATTTGCACAGCAGGGATGTCTTGTGCAGCCCAATTTTAGCAGTGTCATTTTTTTACTTCCTTGAGGCTGAGGTTCTGACGTTAGCTTTATGTTTGTGACATGATTTGTGCTGCAGGAACAGCTAAGGCTGCACATGGCGTAGAGGCGCTGGCTTTCCAAGGTGTGACAGAGAAGGCAGGTGGGACTTGCTCTTTGCAATAACAGCTTTTCTTTCCACGGTCTCCCTCCCCACTAGCTTCCCCCATGTGATTTGTTGCTTGATGTATCTGGACAGATTTGTTGAGCTCACTTTGTATCGCTACGTGAAGAAAATACCATGAGCAAAGCCTTTTCTCTTTATGGGGAACTTTTCCCTTGAGGCTCAGGCCACTTCTCCAACCTTAATCCATCTGTTTGTAAAAGCCAAAAAAACCCCAGCCCCATGTTTTCCTTTGCAGAGGGGATGTGCAGGTTTGTGTGATGCTGGGACAGGTAGCGAGAGCCTGGTCACTGGGCTTGCTCGGTCACAGACCTGCTCGGGGGCTTGGGGAAGGGATGCTCGTGCGTGGGGTGCCTCGCTCTCCCCACCTGCAGAACGGGAGGGTGCCCCATGTCCCTCCCCAGGCAGGGACACTGCAGTCGGGGCTGGGAAGTGCGTTAGGATCCTGTGAGGGACGGGGGCTGGAGCAGGGTCTGGTAAGTGCCCTGTTTAACGGTCTGTGTGTCCTCAGCCTTGAGACTGCTGTGAGGAGTGCAGGCCCTGGTTTTCTCTGCCTGGCCAGTGTAATCGTGGTGTATGGATGAAAACCCCTCTGGCAGGACAGGCTGCATTAACAAACCGGTGGGAAATGGTTACATGTAGGGAAGGGATCCCCGGAGAACTGTCTGACTGGGGTGGTCAGGGGGGTCTGGAGCCCCCGGCCTGTGTCTGTCTCTCTCTGGATGACTGGATGTGCAGTCAAAGCCACAATGAGAAAACAGAGTTGGCTCCCTCTCCCCAGCCCCTGCCTGCCCCGACCTTCCTGCTGCCCCCATCACCTGGGCTGAGTAAGCCCAGCAGAGCGGCAGGGTTTCCCCGTGGGTGGCCAACCACCAGCTGCTGCTCCCCCCTCCCTGGGGATAACGGTGTATTTTCCAGACATAATTCTTTTCTCTGCCTGTGATATTTGCTAGATTAAAATCTCTTTTTCCCCTACCAAGTTTAATGCCTTCCACTGTGCATTTTCGAAACGAGTTCTTGATAAGGTGGAAAAAAACAGCTTTTAATTATGTGACGCACCTAACAGTTGGGGTTTTTTGAACTGCATGAACCATATGGAGAAGGAAGAGGGTTTTACGTGTTTGGAGAGCATCTTTGTAAACTATCCTCAACCTGTAAGACTGTTCAATTTTTCTGCAGTTTGTATGCGTTTTACTTTTGTAATTTTTTAAATGATTTGATAAAATTTTATTTTAGGGCAAATTCTACTTTTTGTATGCGATATTCCAATGTGATGTATTTTTATTTTTAAGAAAATAATGTTGAAACTGCTATATACTTGTCAAAGTAACACATCCACTGTGTCATTTCTTTTTAAAACTGGAATCTGACCATGATGTGCGTGTTACTGGTTGTTGCACATTAAAGAGGTTACTCAAATGTGCTGCCATCACTGTCCATTAATTCCAGAAAATTACAGGGGCATAATTTATTTCTGCTATAATATTGCTAAAACCCACTGCAGATACTGCTACAGAATGAGGATTGCTTAGTCTAAATGAATGTAGCCTCACCCAAAGCCCAACCCAGCCAACAGAAAGGTTTCCATTGCTCTCAGTAGGGTGGGGATCTGGCACTGCTGTTGGATCGAGGGTCCCCGCAGCCCGAGGGACGCAGGGGGTAGGTGGGGGCAGTGGGGCCCCCAGCAAACAGGACCGAGGCGGGGGAAGGTGCTGGCGGCGGTGCCAGCCCCCACTGCCCCACCACACCATCCTGACTGATTTCACACCCTGCCTCATCCGGGCTCCAGCTCAGGATGCTGCAGGCTGGTTGATTTTGCTGGTTCCCACCATTAGTGTCTCCTTTCGGGCTTATGGAAAGGAGACCCTTCGTAATAACCTTCCTCGTGTTTATTCTGCATTTAATTGAAATGGACCCAACCCAGGGTCTCTTGATCTGTGTTTATTTTCTAGGACCAGCTCTTCAATAACCCCCTGACTACTTACCAGGGCAAGTTTAAAATAGCCTCACTTCTTATTAGTGCTGGGAAGAAATCTGTCAACTCTCGTATTGTGGAATATCTGGGCCCCACTATTCTTAGCAACAGTCTCTTTCCAGGCTATATATGGGAGCTTAAGGCTCCTCTAATGATACAGTTCCTGCTCCTATTTATCTTTGCAGTGTTAGGGAAATCTCCGTCCTTGGGGGGATGAGAGCTGATCCATCCCCCATCTCACATCTCTGGTCCATCTTGGATCCCTGCTGCAGTTTTGTGTGTTGGTGAACGCCTCTATGCTCATCCTTTCTCAAAGAGATTTTTCACCTGGTTTCTATTTTATCTTTGTTGTTGTTGACATCCGACATCTCCTTGGCATATAAATGACATTTATTCTCTCTTTCCCAATCAGCTCAACCTTGCTGGGTGCCTGCTGGTGGCTCCTTCTCTGACCACGCTGGAGCTGCACGTGGGCAGACAGGCCCTGCAGGGGCGGCTGGGCTGGGGGCCAGCCTGAGTGCAGGCACTCACTCTTGTGCCCAGATGCGGCCAGATGTGGAGGAGCTGCTCACTGATCCCTTTGTGTGTAATGGCCGCAGGCCCAACAGAGTTTGGAGAAAAAGTCTGGGCCACTTGCAGGTACCAGGTGTGGGTGTTTCAGCACCTCTGGGCTGCGGCCCAGCACCGGCGGACGCTTACGCTGGGGAAGAGCAGCAGCCCCCACGCAGGGGTGGGTCTGCCTTTGCTCTCCCACTGGAGTGTCACAGGGCCGAGTGCCGTGGTGCTGTACCTGCTCCAGGAGGACGGTTTGGGCTGCAGACAGGGAGTTCCATTGGGAATCAAGGCATTAGCCTCTACCTGACACATGCTGCTGGTGTTTGCACCCCCTACCATATGAACACAAACTTGCAACCAAGGGATTTTTTTTTTTTTTTGCTACAACTTGGGCCTGAGCAGGCAGAGGGAAAGCCCCAGAGTGTGCACCATGCCAGGACTTCACACAAGCTGCCAGGAGCAGCACACCCTCCTCTCCTGGTGCGGGCCAGTCACCCAGTGAAGTCATCCTTGGATAAAGGCTACAAAAACCTCCTTAACTCTTCAGGAGCCAAACGAGCACAGGAGCACAGCCCCATGGTGGTGGGACAGCCCCGGGTAGTCTCGGACTCTCAGCAGGAGTCTTTGCAGCAGGTCCCATGGCCACAGCAAGGTTTCTTTTTGGGAGCTTTCTGCTTTGCTCCATATCTGCAGGTAGGTCCTGGGGCTGGAGGGGCTCTGCTGGTGGCACCAGGATGGGCTGGATCCCTTCCCTGGGGGCCGCAGGGGCTGCGCTGTGAGTAAGCGTATCCATCCATCTGTCCATCCATCTGCCTGGCCCCAGACATACAGCCATAGTAAGTGTGTGGACTGGGCACTGAAAGGCAGTGGGCAGGGGATGCAAACCTCCCATGGGCAGCACGGGGGAAACGCTGCCTCAGTGGAACCCTTGTGAGTGGGGCTCAGTGAGCGCGGGCAGAGGAAATGCCAGTGGCCAACGAACTGACCCCACTGCATCCAGAACCTCCACCCCTCCTCAGGGCTCTCCTAAACCTGCCTTTGCAGAGCCAAGGGTCAGGATTATGGATGTAGCTTCACAGTTGAGTTTTGGTGTGTTGAAAGACCATCTCTGGTGGGCAAAGGAAAGGGCGGCTCTGAAGGGTTTGTGTTGAGCAGAGGAGCAGCAGAGGTGTAGAACAGCACAGCCTCGTACAGAAATGGCTTCAACTGCCACTGAAGTGCAGAAAAGACCTTTTCAAGAGAGACTTCCAGAATAGGTCTTAGCTTATGCTAAAGCATTGCAGCTCATCCTACCTTGGACGCTCACGTGGTACTTGGAGAAGATTTTATCTTGTGGGTCTCTGGGCTGGTGCACAGAAGTGGTGCTCAGAGCACAAGTCCACACCTATTAGCTCCAGACTGTCCTTGGCTGTGACAGCACCCGGCGTGGCGGGGACTGCCAGGGACTGAGCTGCTCCCCGGGATGGGCGGCCTCCGCCAGGCAGTGAGGTTTGTCTCTTCCAGCGCCACAGGAGTGATGGATCAGCAGAAGACAGCAACAATTGCCAGAAGGCTTTCAGGCAGAAAGCAAGGGTCTTGCTCATGGACAGGCTGATGTAAGTCAGCATGTAAATTGGGTACAACATAAAAATAATTTCAGCTGAGCTGCTATGAAGAAATCTATGAACAAAAAAATGTTGTTGCTAAGAAATGTGAAAACAGAAAACAATAATGTGGCTCCTGCCAGGGTAATAAAAGTGTATCAGCATTATGCCTGCTCTCTCATACAGATTGCTTGCTCGTGACAGTAAATTAAGTACTGCAAAAATGGGTACAGTTTTCTCTGTGGCCATTGATGCTTCACATCATGGAAATATCAAATGTTTCTGATGGCTGTTCATTACCCTGCGCTTGAGAGGGGAGCAATCCATTGCTGGCTCCATTATTTCCACGACAGCAAGGAAATGACTATGGGAGGTTTAAAAATTGAAGAATACAGCAAGGTTAGATGTATCGAACCTTGACAGCCTGTTGCTGTTCTCCATGGTCCATGCTAACCCTGGTCTGGGAGACACCACACTGTCTCCAGAGTGATGGAAAACCAGAACTACTTTTCTGCTTTTTGCTTCCAGCTAATTGCTGGTTCATAAACTGTGAAGTTTGACCTTGAAAATCTTCAGAAAGCTTATTTTGAAGTGCAACAGTGGTATGGCACAGATCCTTAGCCAGGAGACACCTCTGCCCCGCAACCAGAAGGAGCTTGAAGTGTTTGCTGGCTACCAGGTCTGCTTCAGCTGGGGCAAGGAAGCAAGAAGTTGTGTCTTCCGCATTCTGTAGAGATGTACACCACGGAGTTGAGGGGTGGTTGTGGCATGGCTGCTGTACAGCACAAAATGTGTCCTTCTGGTTTTTATAGTTTTAAAATGAGACAAAGCTAATCTTACATGTGCTTGAGTTGCTGCCATAAGGTGGTCAACATAGGGTCAACCGCAACAAAAAAAGCGTGATATAAACCTGCCTCATGAGCACACCGGGGCGAAGCAGAAAAAGGTGAGTCTACCCAGCTGCTGTCAGCCTCCCGCGAGACAGCTTCAGACTTTTATCTCAACAAACAAAATTACCTTTGCCTGATTCAGTCCTTTCTCCAGAGGGAAACAATTTGGTTTGGGGAAATCATAAGCAGATTGAAGGGTTGACAGCTGACCAAAGACAGGCAGTGTGGGAGGAGAGTGTCCCGGAAATCCTCTTCATTTCTGATGATGTGAGGAATTTATTGTCTGTCCTCCCCTCATGTACTGGGAGGGGTGGGTGGGTGTGGAGGGTATATGTGTGTGTGTGGTGGGGTTCTATTGGGTTGTTTTGGGAGCAGGCTTGGGCAGTGCGGGACTCTGCCACCTTCTTGAGTAATTTGAACCTCGGTGCTTTTTTTAAACAGAAAGTGCAATGACAACTCCACAAGTGGCTTTTTATGAATGAACAAAACAAACCATGTCAAAATGCATTTCAACTGTTAGCAAAACAGCATTTTTAATGACTCTCCAAAGCTTTTGGTAATTGAGCTGTGTGCTTGAGAGCATGTGGTCTCTTGGCTGTACACTCGAGGGGAAAAAACACACAAGACACCACAGGAAGCAACACTTTGGTGGGCAAGTGTTAACTCTCGTGTGTGTCGAGAAGGTGCTTGCTCTGTGCTGAGGTCTGCGCCTCGGTGGCTGCACTGAGCTGATTTCAGCTGACTCAAGGACTGTCCCCAAGCATGGGGGCTGTCCCTGTGCCCAGTCACGGCAGCACAGCCACATGTGCTTTTACAGCTGAGAAAAATGCCTGCATGGGCAGAGGGAAATGCGGGAGTTGGAGCCAGGGCTTGTGATCATGTCAGGATGGGGGACTGGGGCGTCTGGTGGGGCTGAGGCACTGGTGGGGTGCTGGGCACTAGTAGAGGTGCTGGGAACAGCAGTAGGATACTCACTTGGGGATTTTTTTTTCATTGCCACATCCTGACTGCTTTCCGAGGAAGGTGTCTGCATGATGCTCTGCCCGACCAATGCTCTTGACAGCGTATGATGATCGTGTACGAGAGAGTCGGAAGCCTTACTAAAAATCAGACTGCAGGATATTTCTTATTTCTGCACTATCTGCAGGACATGGTGCCTGTTCAGAGGAGGAAATTAACTTGGTCTGACACGACTTGCTCTTGATAACACCCTGGTGCCAATACGCAACTGCTCATCCGCTCTGCAGTGGTTACAGCTCGTTCATCCGAGTCTCTGCTCTGACATTTCCACAGCACTGACATTAACGGGGCCAGGCTGCAAGTCCCTGTCCCTCCTTTCCTCCCTAATGCCGAGTGTTGGCTGTGCCCTTGCCCAGGCAAGTGCCCCACCAGCCATGGACATTTCCAGCCCTTGAT